TCCCCACTTTTTTTTTTTTTTTTTTTTTTTTTGAATAACTGAATACATAAGTCTTCAAACAGAAGCCAAATTGTTTTATCTGATTTCTTCTTTTTTTACAGTAAAAAAATCTCTGTACTTTCTAGCATATAAGAATTTGCCTTTTTAAGTCCCAACCCACCCTTTACATGTCCCCCTGTTGTCAATAGAAAATCCAAAATTACACGTGCATAAAGTGTAATTTTAACTTTGCACACAAATCTATGTGTGATGCTTTTATTTTTGAAAGCTACTGCAGTGGTTTAACACTTGTTGGTTAATGTTATGAATCCACACACTGCATGCTGAAGATATTCAGACAGATGGATCGAGGCTCACTGCAGTAAATAGCCACACCTGACACATATATTATTCCCCTTGATGCTAAATAATAGTTGAAAACAATACAATACAATTCAATTTCTGAGTATGATATAGCTAATGTGTTAATTGCTTTTTTTTGTTGTTTTTTTTCATTTATTCTTATGTTCTAAGTGATTACATCTTGAATTAAGATCACCAGACTAAACATGAAATGTAAAAGAGGAACCAGCACTACTTTAACTTTTATAATTTTGTTTCTAAAAGTCACTTCCATTTACAGCATGGTCATTTTAGATGCCACTATGTTTCATTAGTCAGTTGTAATCATTACTGTAGCCAGCAGCTAAGAAAATTATGTTGATTTTAATCTCAAATGTTTTTTTAAAATAATTGAGGTGAACTGATGATTCTGTCTTTAACAACAATTGTGGCTATTAATGTGACCTTTTAGAAAAAAAATCGAACATCTCTGCACTACAAGCTGTAGCACTAAGAAAATGTTACACAAAGACGAGTAAAAATACATTTATCAGGAGCTAATTTCAGCAGCGGATTACTTTGTTGGCCAGAGTAATCAGGACAACTACTTAAAATAAATTGCAATGCAACAAATTTATCTCAAAGCAGCAGCAGATTACCCACCCTGTTTGTTTTATGTTTATCCATTCAGGTAAAATAATTCAATATTTTTTCATTTAAAGTATTGCCAGTCGAAAGAAAGCACTCGTTCGCATGTAGAAACTAATTTGGATTTGACTTTCCTTAATCCATGCAACTAGCTAAAACCATTGTGTCTAAATTTGGATCGCAGTGAGAAGACGGTAAATCCCTTTAAGTCCTGAAATGGTGAATGAAAATATTTGCTTCTTCTAACTATAAAATAAACAATATTTTTTCTCTTCTGCACCTGTCTCTTTTCATCTGATGCCTAAGAAAACAAGACATGTTATAGTTGACATCTCACACAACTGCGTAGTAAAAACTAAGTCATTGGGCTAGTTAAAGTTTCCCAAAGAGTGCCAGGACAACACAGTTCAAAGCCAAGACTGACAAGAAGATTAGAAAGCACCGAACGGACAGGAAAACTGACATTACTCTAAAAGGATCCCTTCATCCATGCATGCAACTTTCAGTTGCCATGCCAACCTGTTACCAGTCTGCTGCAGCCAAGATGAAAATGGAAACACTGCAGTAATGGAAAGTCTGATTCCTGTATTAGTGCTGCCATAAAAAAAAAAAAAAAAAGAAAAACTGGGCAAATTAGCAGAACAGCAACTCACCGAGACGTCAAAAACCTCTTCCGTGTCATCCAACATACGGACAGTGACAGTGACATGTCGTCCAGGGGGCATAGCCGGAGGCTTGTGGCCTGGGTCCAATGTACTAATGCCAAGAGTCTCAGGGGCTCCAAGACGCTGACCTGCTCCAGAAGACAGGTTCTCTGGGTCTGGCTCTGCCATGGTGCTCTGGGATGTTCGCTGCAAAAACTGCATCGAAGCAAAGATACAGAGGCAATCAGCTGGCATTTAAACCATGTGTTGTTCACAGCATTAATAGTGTGGGCTCTAATTAAAATAAGGAATCATTACCATTCGGAGAAAAGGCGTCCCTGGTATATGCTATATTTGCGCTCAGCACTAATGGCTCATAATTGTTGCCTGTGGGAGTCTCATTTACAGCATGAGAAAAAAAAAAGATTCTAGGATGTTCTTAATTTTGAAGCATTGATCACTCTTAATTTAATCTGACAAATGAACCACAGAGCTAGAGGGTAAAATCACAGAGTCAGTTCAACAACAAAATCGACTCAGAAAAATCATACAAGCAAGGCACAGCAAAAAAAAAAAAACAAAAAACAAAAAAAGTCAGATGAGTTTGATCAGGTCTCAAGGGCAACATGTCAGAGATGTAAATATGCAGCTGGTGATGCGAACTGAGTGTGGGGAATGAAGAGTAATCTGAGAGCAGAGAACGAAACTGTCAATGAGAAACACTGCTTGAGAAAATTCAAAGGTAGCCGTGCAAAACAAATAAATGTTCTCTTGTTTAGAAATAGAAAACTGTTTTTAAACTATTAAAATCCACCATTATATAGACTGATTCCAGAGACGATAACATTTCTAAAAAATACTGCATCTTTTCGAGGTTTTCTGTGAATGTCCTCCACGTAAAATGGGATTAAGCAAACGTCTCCTCTTCCGATTTCAAAAAGGACATTAGCCTCATCACTAAAATGATCATGAATTGACTTTGGAAATGGGTTGACACATGACATCAAACTATCCAACTGCATAGCCACAGGCAGAGCCACACAAGGCCCGTAGCCATTCAAAGATCTGGCATTCCAACAAACTGAGATCATTCCGAGACCTTACCAAGTGGAAATAATGAAGCACCACAGATAGTGGGCAGCTGTTCAGGCACCACAGAGGTGAGTGACCGCTGCCAAGTAACGGCTAAAAGCTGAATCAGGCATTTCAAATGGAGAAGATTATGTAATAAGAGTATGTGGACTAATTAAGCCATGAGGATATTGCTGGATATATACTAAATCCTGTCCAGGTATGGATAGCTTCACTATGATATGTAGCGGTTTTGCTTTCAAGTAGACCATAACTTCTTCTCTTTCGAGACACATATAAAGGGTAAAAAAAAAAGAGGGATTTAATTTAAACCATGCAATGGTAGAAAAAAAAGACAAAAACAAAATGTTTTTCACATGTTCTCATTGTATGACTTGTGTGTTGTCACCAAAGCAGTGCATTCTTAATGGGTGGGTAGATTTTATCTAGAATAAACAAACGTATATCCCTGACCATGATGTGTTGTCTTACGGACAACATACTAGATTTAAATGAGATTGAAGAATTTTACGAAAACACCTCTCCGGTAGCTTTAAAGAGCCATTAAAAGCTGGGTTAGTAGTGATTAAAATACAAATAACTCTCATAAATGAGTTCAGGGTTTTTAAGTCGTGGTCAAATTTGAAACAAAATTTCCTAAGATGCTGTCAGGCATGTTTGTTTTTTTTTTGTTGTTTTTTTTCTTTTTTATGAAATATCCATGTAATTAATCAAATGTTTTTTCTTTCTATATGTATTTCAATCCATCTGCATTTCTTACATTTTATAGAGAGCTACATTAAGGATCTATTTATTAGTGTTGTTTTATGCAAAAGTGGATCTCAAAACTGTAAACATTTATAAGATTGGATGTAAAAGAATTAGACTATGTCGTTTATTTTGTCTGAAGACATTTTTAGTCGATGCAGATGGTACACTTGGACTCAACCATGCTTTCTAGCAGCCAGCTAAATGTTTGGGTCAAAACGGACTGATATTTGGAACTCAATCATTCATATTGTCATTCATCATGTGGAAACACTCCTATGGCAGAGAGCATGAAACTGCCTCCACCATGTTTCATTGTAGATATAGTATTACCTTGAAGGTGTAAGGGGCTGTTGATGACAAACATATTTTGGGATTGTGGTCCATAATTTCAAGTCTGGTTTCATTAGAGTATAACAAGATTTTGGGAGAGTTAATCCAAATTAAAATGCGAGCCCCTTTGCTTCTCATTCATTTTAAGTAGTGATCTCACTATTTCCCTGTAATTTCAATGAGATTATTTGAATATGGCTTTACTTAAGAAATTCAAAGTTGAGAGTTATTAAGGTTTTGTGTTTCTTTTTTTTTTTTTTTTACAACAAATGTTGCATCATTTGCACCTGTTGTGTTCAGTCACCACAGAGGAGCGTGAGCAAACATTACTGTTTTCCAGTGAAAAGGCAGACACTCCGCGAGGAGCTATACCCAACACTGTCACTGAGATGTAATTTGTGAAAAGAAACGTGCTGTAATTTAAATCTGCTAATTTATTACATCTGACCCTTAACCGACCATCACCCTACAGCTTTTGCCTTGATTTCTGGCAATCATTTTGAGTTTTGCCTCTAAATTCCCGGCTTGTGTGACCTGCACATGGCTTGAAACCAGAGACCCTTCACACAAAGCAGTAGTGAAATAGAGGCGAGGGAAAGAGTAGACGGTGATTATTTCAGCTAACACATGCCCTCTCTCGCAGAGAGTATTATGAATCAACTGGTCAGGAGTTCTGCGTTTTCAGTCCGAGTGCCTAACTCAAGTCCAAACAAAAACACAGAACAGGCACCAATTGTGCAGCTGGCACTAAAACACAAGTCACTCAGTGTACAATACCAGGCGCACGTTTACAGACGGGGTTAACCTCGCTGCCTTTGAACAAGTTTTCTTGAAATTCCCCACATATGTGCAATGTGGAGCTGGGTTTTATAACAGTGGCTCCTCTGTGTGCAAGGGGCCCCTCCAGTGCACAGCTGGAAACCTTTAGTGACAGCTGAATGGCCAGAGGCTGCAGCCCGATACAGCCAGTTGTCCACCTGAAAGAAGCTGCATAACAAAACAACCAAAAAGGGGTCAATTTCCTCTTGTGCTCTGCAACAGATCCTGATAGGTGGGTGTGGCTGGATTTGCCGAAGTTCCAAATGTTAGGGGGTAGTGTATGGTGATTATGAGGAAGGATTGCAAGCCGACTGGAAACATGCATGATGCACTTCTTGTGAAAACGATTGCCTCTCCTGACTCACCTCTCACAGTCTTGACACCCTGACAGTAATGTGGGTTAACAGAGCAGAGGCTGCGGTAATCCTCATGGTATTATCACCAGCAGCTACAGCACATGTGACATTAATACACTGCCCGGGCTCACCTGGACACGCACTGTGGAAACTAAGCTGACAGATCACATTTGCACACTTCCTGGTGAGGTATTGATCATTTAAATGTCACGGTGATCCACGAATCAAATTACGGAGAGGAAACCTGAGCGATTGCTGCTGCGTCTGATGAGGAAAATTCGTGCAATGCCATCCACACTGCAGGACAGAGAGGACAGGACCCAAAATCCACGGGATCACGAAAAGACACGGGAAAGATACTCCCAAGACTTAACCCGAATCTCATCAAACAAGTTCAATCACTTCCCTAAAACAGAGCAACACTGACTGAGGACTTGCGCTGCACGGTTCTTACCCCTTCTTCTCTTTTCTGGTAATGCGGGCTTGACCAAGCCAAACTATTTCCCGCAGCTGAAATGAAGATATTACATCCACGTCCCGGCGCAAGGAGAGAAAATGTGAATCCCAAGGGAGTTTTTAAACGCGGTTAGCCCCGCAACAGAGGCTCTCTGCGGTCGCCATGACGGCCGTCTGAGCGAGTGAGCCGCGGAGAGAGACGGGATTTCACCAAAGCGAGCGGCGAGCAGGATCTTCTCCCGTTGGTTCTTGCTCAGACAATGAAGGAGGTGCTGCACCTCCACCTTCTGACACGAACCAGAGACTCTGGGGAGGAACAACAGCACCATCTAGTGGCCTGTGCAGCAGCAACACACCTTTGGCAAACTTGTTTGGTGCGCATGTTAAAATGGTTCATTTTTACACTTTACAGTATAAGACGGGACACTAAATGAGGAGTTAATATAAAAGTGATGTAGAGAAAGTGAAATAAATTAAACATATTTTCCATGAGACATAAAGAAAGAAATGTTAAATGTCACTTTTAGAATGATGAGCTACAAATTTTGATAATTATCTGTTGTAGAAATTGAACACTAAATGAACTTGTCAGTGTCCATGTAAATGTATCCCAGTGTAAACTCTGCACCCACGGATCTTGCTTTTTGAGAAAGTAGGAACACAGACATGTAAGGGCAAAACATCAAAGGGCCATTTGCATAACTTTGTGCAGGTCCTACCTTTTTGTTGGCTGCTCTTTTATGAGCTAGTTGTCCTGTCCGTAGTTTTTTTTTTTTAATGTCTTAGGAAGTTTGTATCTTTTGTTATTTTTTTGTTTGAGGGGATTTTCGGTTGTTCCTCTGTTGTACTTGTTCTTGTTTTGCACCTTCTTGCAGAATCTCTCGTTTTTCCTGTTTTTGTAATTACATTGCCTCTTCTTGCTGGAGTTTACTTTTCTTTATCAACATTTCAATCAGTGGGTCAGGTCTTGTTGCCCCGGGCTTGCAGCCAATGGTATCATAGGAGGATTTTTAAAAGTCTTCCGTGACTGGATCCACCCATTACCGCAACTTCTCTCTGATTCTGATAGTAAGCCAGTAGGTGGGGTGATACTGATTTCATAGTGCCTGTGACTGTATTATGTAATTACTGCTCAGTGTTTACCGCTGCTTTCAATTTTTATGGAGAGTGGGAGGTCTTTTTTGGCTCACATTTCATAACTGTGCTCAGGGACATGGAATGGTAAACTCTTTTTTTATGTCCGTCACCCGCCTTCTCACTGGCAGAAAAAGCGTCACCTACACATTCAGTTGTGTGGGACAGAAGGAGGAGAAATCTCAGTTGGTGTCTTGGCAGCTTCACAGGCCCTCTGGAGGTTCTTTCTTGGAAGTGAAGCAATGATGAACATAAAATTGTGAAAATGAATGGGGTGAGGAAAACAGAGATGATGCTGGCTTGGGTTACTTATGTAAGCAGTCACGATCTGGGGCCATGTCCTCACTGATCTCCTCAGCTTCCTCCATAGGGTGGCCAGCCTCAGTTTTAGATGTGAGGGGCTCCATCACCTGTGGGGGACCTCAAAATAAAGCTGCTGTTTCTCGTCATCAAAGAGATCAGTGGATGTGGTTCAGCCACCTCCTCAAGATGCTTTCTGGGTGCCTCTCCTCACAGATATTCAAGGAACGCCCCACCGGGAGGAGACACTGCGGAAGATCCGAGACTCCCTAGACGGACTACCCGTGCAGCCTGGAAATACATTGAGATACCTCAAAATCTCAGTGCTGTGGCCAGAGAATGTAGAATATATTACACTCTATGGCCACAACTGAAGGGTGTCATTATGGAGATGAATGTTTGGGTCAACATATTTAACATATTAAGGTTAAATATATAATGTATTTATGAAGCTATCCTTATCTCAACACTCTGTACCATAAATGGTCTGAGTATATAAACTTTTTAAACCAGTACCACGATAAATATCTCGCCTTTGACATAAAAGGCCAAAAGTCTTGCCCTTGCAGTAGGTTGCGGGGGGCATTTTTGCTGTTATAATTTTACATGAAGTAGCTAACAAGTATGCCATTGTGATCTCATATATTAAAACAAGGAAGGGCACCTGTCTGAAGTCATGACTACCAAACAGCAGGGCCAGCTGTTTCAAAAATAAGTCATATTTATTTGTATGTCTAGTTAATTATATACAGTCTTTCCTAAGACTAAATAACTAAATAAATCTTGCAAATAGGTCAAGTTTTCAGGTCTACTCTTGAATGTCTGCTGTTCCCCACTGCTAGCAAAGTTGAATGAAAGAAAGAACAAAAAGCTCTTCTGTGGAGAAATGTGTATTTGACCCAGGTCTTGACATACTGAAGACCATGGTTGTATCTTGATTTAAGGATTACCACAAGAACAGTTTTCTAGCTTTTTTTCTCCTTTTGGTTGCTAGGTAGCAAGCGCATCACTGGCAGCAGCACACAACAGTTCCATTCCGTGCCTTTGATGTTTATGATGCAATTGCTTCTCTGTATGTGCAAAATTCCACGAAGTGAACAACTAGTTGGAGGCGAGTTTAGTGAGTGGAGAGAAGTACAGCGATTTTAAGACATTAAAGTGAAGTTTTCTGACCAGAGTTCATTGGAAAAATAAACTTTCAGAGTCACCATGGCAGAAAATAGAGAATTTGACCTTGAAAATGAGGTTTTTAACCGCGAGGAGTTTAGAACCAGCATGTTTAATTTTCTTCAGGCGCTAACCAATGATGAGATGGCGTGTTTGAGTTCAGGGAATGTCCATGAGCAAACAAAACACAGGATTATGGAGTTGGTGCAAGGACATGTTACCCCTGTAATTGACCAAATTTTAAAAAAATTGGCACAGAAAGACAGTCGGACACTGGTAAGCCCTGAAGTTGTCAACCAGTTTGTGTACGATGAGGTATCCAAAAATATACTAGATTCTATGGCCACAAATCCACAAATTGCTGAAAAAGTAAAGGAAAAGGGCTTTACTGAAAGAATTAGGGGGTTTCTAGCACGGTGTTTTGGAGTGGCACAACCAACATCAGTGGTTGTCCAAGAAGTATCTCAACCTAGAAAATGGTCAGAAGTATCCATACCCCTTGGTATTAATCCTTCTGAGGAAGAACAAGAAAATAGTCCTCCTGAAGACTTGGATTTCCGACAGGAAACTGAAGGGGACACCCATAGAGATACTGGTCATCGCAAAAGTCACTTGATTGTCACTAAAGAAGGAGACATTGAGATAAGAAGCATCTATAGCTTTCAGGAGGAAGACGTAACGGAGAAAGAAATGTTTGCTAAAGGTCCTCCATCGAAGGGTGCAAGACTAAAGAAGTACTTTCAAAAGAATTTTGGTTTAACTTGTTGTGGAAAGGTTGTACTATCTGGATCAGATGTCCCAGAATTATCAGACACCATAACAAAATCAGTAGAGTACACTCCTCCTCGTGTGCAGTCTGAGGAACCATGGAAACCTCATTTCACTGAAGAGACTGATTCCCACGACGAATACAAAGAAGACGATGAAGAGGAAGAGGAAGAGGAAGAGCATGAAGGTTTATTTTCTGAATCCTTTCTTCGTTACATTTACTCAAGAAGTAATCTGAATGTCACCACAGACGAAGACGAGGACGAAGATTCTGAGGATACAGATATTCTTGACATCTTTATGGGCGAAGAGGTATTTCCATCAAAAACAACGTGGCATAAGAATTCTTTACCTGAAATATTTGGTAGAAGGCCATCAAGGATTTCACCTAGTAGATCCTCAATAGACACATTGCCAAGACAATTCATCCCAGAAGCTCTGCTGCCTCAGAAGATACAGACGGTATCTTTTGAGTTTCCAGCTGGAGACACAAAGGCAGAAAGATCTAAAAATGCTGTGAAATTCCTCATTCGGAAAATAATTTCTCACACCATAAATAAATCAGGATACATGTGCAGACGAAATGTTTCCAAATTGATTGAAGAGCAGCTGTTTAGAAAAGTTTGGCCAGAAGTTCAAGGAAAACTTTCTGACATTGACCCAGAAAGGATTGAAAACTGTGATAAAGCCATTTATAAAGACCTCTGTAAAATGTTCAAAAAACGCTCATGCAATCTGTTGGACTATTTGTACTTAGACAGAGAACCAAGCCTTTATCATGACAATGTGGCAGCCTGTGTCAAAATGCACCTCATGAGTCTGAAGAACTCTACCAAGTCCACATAATTATGGAATTAATAGAAATAGTACGTAAGAACTTAACTGCAACCATTCCACATTAATCTAGATCAAAACATCACCTGCAAACATTAGATGACTAAAATTTCATTCTTCAAATTCTTGGGTTCTCTCCGGGTGCTCCGGGAACCCCCATTACACATAAAAAACACGCACGCGCACACACGCATGCGCGCACACACACACACACACACGCACACAGACACACACACCCACACCACAACTGAAAATAAGCATGTTAGGTTAACAAATTTCTTTTAAATAACAGAACTCAGCTCCAATCAACCACAGTAATTCAAAAGTGATCCAAAATTGACTGATAGATAGATAGATAGATAGATAGATAGATAGATAGATAGATAGATAGATAGATAGATAGATAGATAGATAGATAGATAGATAGAGATCTATATTTGCATGTATGAATAGATCTATTTATAAAGATACATAGATATATATTGTCTTTCGCAAACAAATATAGAGTTAAAAACAACAAAACAAACAAATACAATTAAAATAAATATAAATTATTTGTATTTCTGGTAAATCCAAGTTAAGTCAGTGGCTCCTTAAGATCCACCAGGACTCCAACAGCTTCAAACATGCTAACATATAAAACAGATATAGAAATTTAACACTGTTCATTGAGAATGTCAGGGCTGTTAAAAAATTTAGTTTAACGATTTCAACCTAGATAAATTTAGAGGTGTTAAATTTAAATTAAAGATTTTAAAGGAGCTGGATAGCATACTAAAGATGCATGATGAAAGTGATGTACTGGTAAACTCTCCATCCTAATTAACATTTTTTATAAAGACCACGCATTTGGCAGACGGAATTTATCTTCCGGGTATGATCTCTGGATTTAAGTATTTAGGAACTAATCATTGACATCTACAAGGATGCAGATAGGGACAGGCATGCTGAAGATGCCTGATGGAAGTGATGTGCTGGTAACCTCTCCTTCCTAGTTTCGTTTTTTTTTAAGGACCACACATTTGGCAGAAGGACTGTATCTTCTTCTCACGGATTATTGGATATTACTTTGAGGAACCCATCGCGGACCTCTCCTTGGGCTGCCACCTTATCGTGGTGGAGGGGTTTGAGTGTCCCAATGATCCCAGGACCTATGCTGTCTGGTGCTTTATAACTATGTCATGGTCACCCATGGCAGAGAAGTCCTAGGTGAGGAACCA